AACACCCAGCCTTCTGATCTGGAGTCAGACGCGCTACCATTGCGCCACGGGGCCGCTGGGGAACTCGCGCGAAGTCGTGTTACAGGCGGTCAGGTTTTAAAGCTTATGAGCCGTAATTTGATTCTTGGTGATTTATATTGTGTGTATATACACTAACATACATCCATATATATATACACATACTTAAACACACATAAGTATACATGCATCCACATATATACATATGCGTATACATATGCACATAAACACACACATACATATGCACACACACACGCGCGCACTCACACGCAAGTACACGCGCACATACATACATACATATATACACATATGCATACATACAGACACACACATGCATACATACAGACACACATATGCATACATACAGACACACACATGCATACATAGACACACACACATGCATACATAGACACACACACATGCATACATAGACACACACACACGCATACATACAGACACACACATATGCATACATACAGACACACACATGCATACATATATACACTCATATGCAGCCATACATATATACACTCATATGCATACATACAGACACACACACATGCATACATACAGACATACACATATACAGACACACACATGCATACATACAGACATACACATATACAGACACACACACATACAGACATACAGACATACACATATACAGACATACATATACAGACATACACATATACAGACATACACATACATACACATATACAGACATACACATATACAGACATACACATATACAGACATACACATACATACAGACATACACATACATACACATATACAGACATACACATATACAGACATACACATATACAGACATACACATACATACAGACATACACATACATACACATATACAGACATACACATATACAGACATACACATATACAGACATACACATATACAGACATACACACATACAGACATACACACATACAGACATACACACATACAGACATGCACATATACAGGCATACACATATACAGGCATACACATATACAGGCATACACATATACAGGCATACACATATACAGGCATACACATATACAGGCATACACATATACAGACATACACATATACAGACATACACATATACAGACATACACATATACAGACATACACATATACAGACATACACATATACAGACATACACATATACAGACATACACATATACAGACATACACATATACAGACATACACATATACAGACGTACACATATACAGACGTACACATATACAGACTTACACATATGCATACATATACATATACATACATACACACATGCATACATACATATACACGCATATATACATATACTCGCATACATACACACATGCATACATGCATATACACGCATATATACATATACTCGCATACATACACACATGCATACATGCATATACACGCATACATATATATATATATATATATATATATATATATATATATATATATATATATATATATACACACACAAACGCATACATACACACACGTATATATACATACATACACACACACGCACCATAATCTTACACACACACACGCTCCATAACCCCCCCACACACACACACACACACACCGTACGTGCGCACCCTTGATTCTTTGTGACCCCCCCCCCCCCCTACAGCCCCCTGCCTTGACAATACCCTTCTCTTCTAACAATATCTTCAAAAACAAGGAGGCAAAGTTTCCTCGCTGGTACATCTACTCCTCACTCCACCCTTAACACTTGTACCGAAACTGCTATATTGATAGTGTCAAGAAGTGTCCTGCCCGACCATACCGACCCCTTCCATATCAATGTCAGACTTGTTGGCGTTTTGGCCACCCAGGCAGACATTGTTGCTCCAAAGCCCTCCTGCCCCCCTGCCCTCTGTGCCCAACCTGGTCATGGCCGGTCATATTGCTCTGCTCAGCCATGTGTTCCAAATGAGGTGGCTCCCAAAATGTATTTTGTAGAAGCTGCCCTGCATCTGAGGTAGCAGTTCTCAGACTCAAACTGGGCTTCACTCTACGTGAGGCCAGACAGAAAGCACGCCAACACGGTTTTTCTCTCTACTTGTTCCAAAACTGTCCTTTGTTCCATCCCCCCCCTCCCATCTTCTCAAGAAGTCTACGTATCTCCTCCAATATCTCTTCCCTCTATCCCGAAGCATCCTACCTCTATTCCCTCGCTCCTCCAATCAAATTCCTTTCCCAATCTCAATCCACTTCCCCAATACCTATCCCTCCCCCTCACTCGACTTTGATGCTCTTGACCATCTAAACGTTCCACCCCATCTTCTCCTACTACATCCTCTTCTGTACCCTCTTCTCCACTCACCTTTTCCCCTCCTCCTCGGGCATCCATCCGCTCTTCTCCACCTCACAAATAAATCTTTATTTATCAGACCTCCCCACCTAACTCCCCTCCAGAAACACTTGATCTCCAAGACCTTGGATGTCTGGCACATTTATTTTTGCTTTTAGCCATTAACTAGTCTGTTCACTTCCTAAAAGCCTGTCCAAACAAGTGGGCATGATCGATGGACACACAGGTGGGCACGAATAGAGATAACGTCACAGGCGAACATATTCCTGTTCAACCTCACTCCTCCCTTTCTATTTGCACCGGAACTGTTTCCGTTTACACCTTTTGATTGCCCTATCTATGACAAGGATTGGTCAGACTGTGAAAACGACCTACTTGCTACAGTATCACTACACTATTCTTCCCAGAGGCCGCCGAAAATCTTACACCAATAATTCCAAAATTACCTTTCCCATGAAGTTATATTGGTGGAGAGTCCTGCCATGCTCAAGAATACTGACTCCCCAGTGCCTCCCATCTTCCCCTTCGTCCTGCTCATCGCATCAGACAATCTAAATGTTCCACCCCATTTTCTACCACATCCTCTCCTATACTTACCTCTTCCTCTGTCCCTCAACATCTGTCTGTCTCATCTCCCCCTCATAAGATGACCTTCGTTTTCTCAAGACCTCCTCAACCAACTCCTTTTCAGAAACTACTGAGGACATCAAAACTATTTAATCATGGGGATAACACGTAGAAACAGTTTGGGAAGAGATACTGTGGAAAATGTAGAGACAATCTGGATAGAAGAGAGAGGACTGGAGCGAGGGAGAGCTAGAAAAACCTCGTCGACGTGCTTCCTGTCTGGTCTCTTGTAGAGTAAGGCCAAGTTTGTATTTGAGAACTAGCACCTAAGACTCAAATTTGTAGGCAAAGCAGTTCCTATAAAATGAATTATGGGAGCCACCACAATTGACACATGTAAGTGACTGTGCAGGGCAGTTTGAACGGTCATGAGGAAAGGAAGAGGGGGATGGCGTGTAGGGAGCACGTGTGTGGGAGGAAGATGGATGTCGGCGGTCAGTTTGAGTGTAGAAGGAACAGAGCCGATGGTTTGGATGGGGCATAGGCATGTTATCATGGGTCACGATTAAATAGTTTTGATGCCCTCAGTAGTTTCTGTAATAGAGAAGATGGGAGGAGAGGGAAAAGGAAGCAAAGGAACAAGTAGAGAGAAAAACCTTGTTGACGCGCTTTCTGTCTGGTCTCGCGTAGAATGAGGCCTAGTTTGAATCTGGGAACTGCTACCTCAGATGCAGGGCAGCTTCTATAAAATACATTTTGGGAGCCACCTCAGTTGGAACACATGACTGAGCAGAGCAATTTGAACGGCCATGACTAGGTCGGGCACAGAGGGCAGGGGGGCAGGAGGGCTGTGGAGCAACAATGTCTGATTTAGTGGCGAAAACGCAAACATGTCTGACATTGATATGGAAGGGATCGATATGGTCGGGCAGGACTGATGTCTGATAAACATTTTATTTTCAGGCACTAGGAATACTTGCTTCAGCAATATTTAGAACATGTTTTAAATGCAAAGAGGGTTCAAAACTACCTTTCTACTCTCATTACCCTTTTTCAATGTCCAAACCCTGTCCATTAGAGATACAGAGATAGAGATAGAGATAGAGTTAGAGATAGAGTTAGAGATAGAGATAGAGATGATAGAGATAGAGAAAGAGAGAAGTAACCATAGTCCCCCCGATAATGTACATTTTCTGTGAATTCCCCATCGACATGAAATCATCTCCCTCACTGCAATTTTCTTCCTTTTTTCATCCCACTCTCCTTTTCTAAAATAAACCTTCTCTCTAGCGATATATCCCACCCTCTTAAACTACACCGAAGGAATTCTATAATCAGCGAATTCTATCTAACCTAATCAGATATCTTAAACGACAAAAATAAAAATATTCGCAACCCAACAAAAAGGTTCTTGTGTCAAAGCGTCTCTAAGGAATCGTATTTTTTGTGTGGATTTTCCGGCATGCAAAAGGTACTTCTGCTCTTTATTTATTTATTTATTTATTATTATCATCATCTTCACCATTTTTATTATCATTTTTATTATTATTATTCCTAATGTTATCATTATTATTATTATCGTTATTATTCTTATTCTTATTATTACTATTATTATTATTACTAGTGTGTGTACTGTGTGTGTGTGTGTGTATGTGTGTGTATGTGTGTGTATGTGTGTGTGTCTATGTGTGTGTGTGTATGTGTGTGTACTGTGTGTGTGTGTGTGTGTGTGTGTGTGTGTGTATGTGTGTGTGTGTGTATGTGTGTGTATGTGTGTGTATGTGTGTGTATGTGTATGTGTATGTGTATGTGTATGTGTATGTGTATGTGTATGTGTATGTGTATGTGTATGTGTATGTGTATGTGTATGTGTATGTGTATGTGTATGTGTATGTGTATGTGTATGTGTATGTGTATGTGTATGTGTATGTGTATGTGTATGTGTATGTGTATGTGTGTGTACTGTGTGTGTGTGTGTATGTGTGTGTACTGTGTGTGTGTGTGTATGTGTGTGTACTGTGTGTGTGTGTGTATGTGTGTGTACTGTGTGTGTGTGTGTATGTGTATGTGTATGTGTATGT